CCTTTTTGGATTACTCATCAGCCTTTGACTCTGTTCCTAGACCACTTTTGTTAAATAAGCTTGCCATAGCTCACACTGATCCATGGGTTACAAAATGGCTGCATTCTTATTTTTCTGAAAGGAAACAGTACACTATTCATAAAGGGATGCGCTCCACTTCATTGCTTACTGAAGCTGGTGTGCCTCAAGGTGCTGTACTTTCTCCTTTTCTGTTTTCCTTTTTTTGCACGATTTGCCTTATTCTGTTGAAACTAATTTTATCAAGTATGCTGACGACCTGACGATTTCTATTCCAGTAAACTCTTCTTTGGATTGCTCGAAATTAAATGAATTCTTGTCTGAAGTTGGTAAATGGTCTCTCTCAAATGGTCTCAAACTAAACCCCTCTAAATGTCAGACCGTTAATTTTAGCCTCAGGCGTAAACAAGACTTATGTGAGCTGCTTAAATCTCATGACGCCTGCTGCATCAATGGTATTTCTGCAGAAAGTAAATCGAGTGTGAACTATCTTGGGTTGCGTTTTACTTCTGACCTTTGTTGGTCGTCCCATATTTTATTGACTTGTAAAAAAATCTTTCGTTTAACTTATTACGTAAAGAAATTGAGGCTTTCTGGTATAACTCAACTGCTTCTTTTACAATTTATTAATTCCTGCATTTTACCTATTCTTCTATATTGTTCCCCATTAATCTTTCCTGGTCTTCTTAAAAAGGACTATGTTATGTTGCGTAGGGCTTTGAAGACCGTCAGCAGGGTGAGTGGTGTGTCTCTGGCTCAACTGATTAACACTGTAGTTGATCGACATATAAATTCCTGCAAGCTACTAGCTACAGAAATTTTAACTGACAGTGAGCATCCACTTCATTTACAGCTCTCTCCATGTATCTCCTCAGGGAGGACAAGGAGAAACTACATAAGACTGTATGCTCGTACAGCTAAGTATAAGAATTCGACTGTACCTTACCTTGCACGTATATTTTGTGAGGAAAAAAGTGTTAGAACAGAAATCACACATCAACTTTGTGACAGTTAAAAATCTCATTTCAATAATTTAACTTACAATGCAAAATTTTCTCGTTTTTAATATTCTTCACATAACTTAAATTTTTATAATAAAACAATTAAAAAGGCTGCAAAGTAGTATGTATATACTTATATTTTGTTGTTATTGCAATATATATTACGCTGAGAATTCCAAATTGTACCACAAATTGTTTGGAATAAAGTGAATTATCATTATTATTATTGTTATTATTAGTAGTAGTAGTGTGAGTGGTAGTAGTAGTAGTAGTGTGAGTGGTAGTAGTAGTAGTAGTAGTGTGAGTAGTAGTAGTGTGAGTGGTAGTAATAGTAGTAGTGTGAGTGGTAGTAGTAGTAGTAGTGTGAGTGGTAGTAGTATTAGTAGTGTGAGTGGTAGTAGTAGTAGTAGTGTGAGTGGTAGTAGTAGTAGTAGTGTGAGTGGTAGTAGTGTTAGTAGTGTGAGTAGTAGTAGTAGTGTGAGTGGTAGTAGTAGTAGTAGTAGTAGCAGTAGTAGTTGTGTTAGTGGTAGTAATAGTAGTAGTGTGAGTGGTAGTAGTAGTAGTAGTGTGAGTGGTAGTAATAGTAGTAGTGTGAGTGGTAGTAGTAGTAGTAGTAGTGGTAGTAGTAATAGTAGGCAATTAGTAGGCAACGCTGTTGATATGTATACACATCGGAATTATAAGGATATCTGTGACTTTCTACCAGTTCACTTAAACACACAGTGAACGAGAAACATCAAAACTATAGTCATTTGAATACTCTTCCAGCTCTATTATTCACAGTACACCATTCAATATCCATTCAAATATGAAAACTGTTTATAACCTTGGGTTGACATCAATTAAAGTACTTTTTAAATTCACAGAGTACTAGACAACGGTTTCATCCTAGTTTACGACTCATTAAGTGTATATATTCCCTAAAGTATGATGGATTAAAGTCAGCACTAGGCATCATTTTCAATTCTGACCTTCCTTTAGCTGTTGACCAATACGATAGCTCATCATCATCATCATCATATGATGATGATGATCAGTTAAAGTACACACAAAACAGATACCAGAAACTTTAATTTGATTGCAGGTGAATATTTCTATTGCCTTAATTTACGCATAAACTTTAATTTATCTTATTATCACTTAGTGTAACGCAAGTGCTTCTATATAAATATGATCAGTGTCCAATGTTCAACGGAAAAAATGTGAAGGTGTATTCATTTAAAGTATACTTGATGAACAGCAATTATGATAGTCAGTTTCTGTTTTTCTTATAAAATTTGATTGACAGTTAACTGACAGTGGATTACACCAACAAAAAATTCATCTTGCGGTACATTCTTTTGGTTTTATAATAATTTATTGTTTAAATGATATAAATCAATATAAGTGACTATTTTAATTTTAAACAAATGTTTACACCTTTCAATGTTTCAATATTTATTAGCTGCCATCATCTTCATTTAACTTGAATATTTTATGACTAACATAACAGAGGTAAATCAGTCATTTCAGATTGGATTGATGTACACTCTCTCACTCTCACTTCTCTACCTTACTCATCACTAGTACAATACAATGTTCCGATAGTTTACTGTTGAATTGAATATAAAATATCATGACTTCTGTTATCTTTATTGTTATTAAAATAATGCAACCATATTGAAAGTGTAATGAAGCTTTTACACATATTGTTATTCATCTGTATACATAGTTCGTATCCTTTTACAGAAGTAAGTTGTTTATTGGCATTTTTATATTATTCACTGTGTCATACAATAATCTGTTTTTTATTGTATTTTTTGTCCATCCTCTGCATCTTCGTCTGCATCATCATATTCATCGTCTTCGTCTGGTGTTGTTGCTGTCTGGTAAACACTCTTCTCTTAACACCTCGACAATTGTATACAATACTGATGACTCCTGCCTCTATTACGTCCATCAAACTATCTACGCGGATGCATACACACATATACAATCTTGCTTATTAAAAATGATTAGATCGTATACTCCTGGATATTCCATGTCACGTGTGTGAAGATCATTCATCAGGAAAGCATTATGGTATCTATGCTTGTGACGGGTTAGTGAAATATATATATATAAGATGGGATTGAGTTCTGTCTACCTATTTATTTGTTTATTTATTCAGTTATCACTGTTTTATTTTGTTTTTATGAATGCCATGGTAGTTGCAGTAGCAGTAGTAATTGTTGTTGTTTTAACGTTGCTGTTGTATTGTTATAAAATTCCAAAGAAAAGAAACATGTTTATGCTTGTTGTACATCTGCACATGCATGGTCTAACTTTCTTTCTCGCATATAGAGGGATTGTTAGACACGTAGATAGATGGATAGACACATCGATAGAGAGACAGACAGATAGATAAACGTCTATTTAACATATCAATATCCAATTAATTTTCTTCTTTTTTTTTAATGAATTGACACATCACTTATCAAATAACAATAGGAATGGAGTCCGAAAAAAAAATATTAGTTGTAACAAAAGGCTTTCAGACAGATTTAAAACTAACTCGTTAAATCAGGAAGCAAGAAAATAAGTTAAAATCATGAAATTCTCTTATTGCCAGAAATAAGTTAAAACAATTTGAAAATGATTAAGTTATCAGAAGAATTGTTAGCTGGATTACTAACTAGAAAAATATGATTCTCATACTTAGAATTTTCTTCGACCAGTCTAAACCACCACCCTCGCCACTAATAATAATGATAAGTGGGGTATGGGGAACGAGGTACTCTTCACTAATTGAACTACCAGAGAATGTAGTGGCATCTGAAGTAATGTGTACTGGATTTGAGTATTGACAGGAACACATCCAGGTCCATTCAGATAATCAGTTTCATTGTTGATAACGTGGATGCTCACCAGTTTGGGAACTAGTAGAGATTGAAGAAATGCAACATTCAATTCCGAAAACGCAACACCATTCATTGAGGAGCATTCTAGAAGCCTAAGGCCATTCATACTCTTGCTAACGGATGATAAGTTGAGTAAATGAAACGTTTTTAAGCATACCATGGGGATATACAGTCCGCTTACTTTTTTATCTCAGTATTCAGATAAACAAGAATGTTGTAATTCTAAAAACTGATTGATTAAACTGCAATGTGAATCAGTATTCGCACCTCTCCAGTAAATGGACTATTTTGCTTTATGTTATCAGCCTAGGAGTTAACTTCTCGTGATTTACACCATAAAATGAACTCAGATGACATAATAAGAAAGGTTAGAAAAGATGGATGATGCCTAACAGTGGAATCCAGGACTCACGTTTCGTCCTTTATTGGATTCATCAGCTAGAAGTACCTTCCTCTTAGTTCCCTCAAAGACTCGAACTCAGGACCGATCACTTCAAACGCTAAGCAACAAGCAACATCATATAAAGGTTAGGAAAGATTATTTTCCTCAATGGAATTGGAAGTAACCGCTGTAGTGAATAGTCAATCCAATGAGGGGCGTTAATATTCGAAGAAGAGTTTGACTACTCATAAGTAGTTCAAGTTTCATATTTTCATTTAAGTGGTAAATATTCATAGGTGAGAAAATGTCGACCCACTTTGTAGACATCATAGATTTATTGCTTAACGTTCATGTTTGCATTCAATAACCTTTGAATACATGATTAAATTAGCAATAAAACAGAATATGACAGTTAAAGTTAGAAGAAGTATGAATTCTAGTCGAGTTTGAATTTTAACATTCTTTACCAGTTGACTGGTAAACCATAGTCGACAAGATAAATTACAAGATTAATTCTCAGCCATCAAATACCACAAGCATGCGTCGCATAATTGTTGTTCACCGTATTCAGTGTTCAATTGTATATTGAAGAATTTAGTTGCTTTATTTGTGTCCCACTTAATGTTGTCTATTCTCATTTTTGTTTTAATTTTTATATGCTTACGATATCCTATTGGAATATGGATCCTCTTTTTTGTCTTAAACTCATATAATATACGCATGCATTCAATGATTAAACATCATATAGCTGTGCAGGATTTTTCAAGGTGAGTGAGTCAACCTCTGTCCAATGAAAATGTTTGTTTAAATTTCATTAACTGACCTTGTCAAAGGAGCATGCATACTTCAATAGAAGATCATTTTAAAAATGTTTAAACTACATGTAGATGATATCCAGCCTGTTTTTTTCTCATACCTTATTCAGAGATATTTATGTACTGCTTAACAGACCGTTGTGAGCAAGGGAGGGAATGGCACGATTTGAGCTAACCCAAGAACTGACAGAAACTATTGGGCGTTAAAACAAAATGCGCCACAGTATCCTAAGGTTGAGCTAATGATGAAGGCGGTCTCTTTTCTTGGTAGACAGTACTTGAGGCTGGCCACACTAACCGCCGAATGACCAAGATATTTTAAACAACAGTATTTTTATGTTGTCGGCTAGCAGTGAAATCCAGGATACGCTTTTCATCTTACTTAAGGCTTGTCAGCTGGCCATAACTGCAGCTAAACGAGTGATGTCGCCCTGACCGAGACTTGAACCAGCTACTCATCGTTTCAAACGCCAAAACGTTACTCACTAGGCAGTTGGGGCACCAGAGCCAACTACAGGTGTCTATAGGTAATAACTGTTACCCACTACACAAGAGACGTTTCTCGTGCTCCAGTGGCCTACTGGATAACGCCGTAGCTTTCGGAGTGATGAGTGATGGGTTCGAGCCTAGGTGGGGACGACGTCACCCACTAAGGTTTAGGTCTACCCAGATGACGAGTCCCAAGTAGGGTGAAACGCGTGTCTTTCGTTCTACTACTAGCTAACATCAAGGGTATTACAACCTGGTCAATAATCAGGCCACATTGAGGTATCTGCATAGATGCCTGTATACCAAGAGAAGTAGATCAACCCAATCCAGAATAACAACGAGAAATTACAAACAGAAATCAATAATAACAGTATTTTCATTTTGAAACATACATTCTGTTATGTTATAAAGACTCAGATTGTAGTTTAGTATCAGAAAAACACAAATTGTAAAATCTAGTCATTCAGTAATCTAAAACAGTTTTAATTTAATCAAATGGCCTTGATGTAAAGAAATGATGACCGAATTCAAACTGTAAACCTGCGGTTTCTGCTTCCATTCCTGTATTACCTAAGTTTGTGTCTCGTCACCAACTCGCCATCCTCTAGAATACAAAAATGATCTTATTATGGCTTAGTGAATGAATGACTTTCATTTGAAAGCAATATATACAGCTTATAAAAGTTCGCCAAATACAACTGAGAATGTTAGTGATAATGATGTTGATAAACTAAGCCCATTTTCAGAACACTAAGCTTATAATCTACAGACTTGTAGTTCGAACCCCACCAGGATAAAAGTGGTAGTGACAGTAAGTGGAGGAGTAGGAGTAGGAGTAAGAATGACATCAAAGAATGTATAAGGATCAATTTGTCACTTTAATGACCAGCTAAGCTACTATGCTATTCTAATTTATCACGGTGGGAATGGAAGTTATCAATACTGCATTCAAGGAAATAATACTTCACACGACACACTTGTAATGATCAGTGGAGCATTTATTGTTGAAAATGTCCCAGTTAAATTAAACCTAGACATTTCCATTCTTTGTATCCTTGAGAAGAGACTTTTTTTTATTCTATTCCACATTTGACATGAATTACAGAGATGTAGAATTCATCGTCTTCATCAGCTGTTTTTGCAGTGAAGTATTTGATATGCATTAGAAGGAGAAGGTTTCTGCTATAGACGTTGGAACGTTTCGTTGTAAGTTTACACATTGTAGTCATCAAAGTCGGCTTGAAGACTTTCACCTTTTTATGATGACGATAATGGTGATGATGATGATGAACTCGTCTGATCTCTGTTTTTATTGTCTGTTTTACTTGTACACCTTAACAAATATTTAAAAATGAAAAAGGATAATAACGAAATATAAGAAAATTATTCATTTCTCTTCAGCATATATTTAAGACATTTCCTTCTTCTATAGTCTCTTTCTTTCTATGATTCCGTTTCTTTATGCTTGTATGAGTATGTATCACTGTCATATGATGTAAAGCATTTAAGAATCTACACTCACTTATGAAAATGTACAGCTGTAAGGGATGGAATTGTCATAACCATGGAAATACGCACACATGCATGCACAGGAGCACACTGTCACCTACTATGAGTACATGTTATTATTCTGCTTTATTTTCACATTTAATTCCCACTAAACAATCGTCATGTAAATCACTGCATCGTCAACTGCAACCAGCAGGCTCAAGAAGAGTAATTTCAATAACATTACTACTAATTAAAAATAATTAGTGGGTACAGAATTATTAAGGGGTCAATTCCTCTAAATACTAATCATAATAATTTATGGTTTTAACACAAACTGAGTACACTACTCCTAATTCATTTAACAATCTTAGCGTAGGTTAGTACTCATGTAAGTAAAGATATGTAGATAGGTATAGATACAGAGTAGAAACAAAAAGAAGCTGATATCATCACCATAATTGCCATTATCATCATCATCATCATATGATTTCTCATCTCTTTTAATTTGTTTCAGTAATTTGGCTTTTAACAGCTTGACATTTAGTACCATGTTCTAGTTGTATCTCATGTACAAGTGATGAGTAGGTATTAAGTAACACAACAGGTGGTATACATTAAGTTTTAATATAATTGAATATGTATGTTTGTATTCGTGTGTGTGTGTATGTGTATGTCTGCATCTGCACTTTTGTACCAGAATAAGTACACGTCTCCGTGACCTGTGCAACCATATATCCCACACACACACACACACACATAACTGAAAGACTAACAACTTGGGATGTGAGATGCATAAAATGTCTTTTTTCTGGGATTTTGTAAGATGGACCGTCACAATTTTGCCTTTAATCAAGAGGGTTTAGTTCTATCACTGCTACTGTCAATATTATTATTATTATTATTATTCTTACTACTACTACTACTACTACTACTACTACTACTACTACTACTACTACTACTACTACTACTACTACTACTACTACTACTACTACTACTACTCACACTACTACTACTACTACTACTACTACTACTACTACTACCACTCACACTACTACTACTACTACTACTCACACTACTACTACTCACACTACTACTACTACTACTACTACTACTACTCACACTACTACTACTCACACTACTACTACTGCTGCTATTGGTTGCATGAGAATTGGCTTTAGTAGTAGAATTATTCAGTGGTACAATGTACGATAGTTTGATATGTCGGCATTAATACCATACAGTATTTAGGAGATCCTCATCTACTATGCGGACCTATATACGACTGCTAGTTTGTGTTTTCATTGGATTTCATTTGCCTCGATATAATTGTAACTATAGAGAAGGCATATGAATTGTTCTTCACTGGATTCGAGTTTGCCATTTGAATTATAGTATACTCAGAGCAAGATTCGATAGTCATGATTTTGTTTCTCACAGCAACCAGCACTGCACATTACGAAGAAGTCCTGGGATGCACATCATCTCATTGTAGTAAAAGTGATTTGTTTTACTTTCTTGCGTTCGAAAAAGTGCCAGCGATGAAAGTTATTTTTGACAGTGCTTATCATCATCATCACCAATGTGTGGTTGTATATTTGCCTCAATAGTGACATATTTGGTACGATGCCTAAAATTGACTAAGTACATAGGAGTGAAACAGAACAAGAAGACTGTCTACATTGAATGATCAACTTGCGAATTGTTTATAAATTGCACAATCCATGAGGACATTTCTTATAACTGAGTAGTTTTGTGTAAAGCACCCAACTGTTATGTCAATAGAGTTTCTGCTAATAACCACCGAGTCAGCATCAGTGCTTGTGATCGCTGACTTCAGAGTGTCATGAAATAACGAGATATATTACTGAGTAATTAAAAACTACCGCCACTGATCCAAAGATTTATTTTGGTGTTCATATCAGAGTGACTTAAAAACCAAACGACTATTTCGATTATTTCAGGCTGGGCTCAAGTGTTCAGATCACTTTGAGTAGGGTTGTGAAATAAACCTGCAGATCAACATGAATGGTTTCAAACTATTCATGCTTTTCAGTAGTAAAGGACGGTCTACTTCATATTGAAGTTAGTGCTGAAGATATCGTCTAGAAAGACGATGAAAGCTCCATGACTAAACAACCCAGCTCAGAGTACACAATATGACCAAAACAGTCTACATTACGTCTCACTATTGGAATATCTGCTTATTTGCATATGCTGTGATACTATCAGTGATTTCATTTTGATCGTAATAATAAGTAGTGGACAGCAGTGGAATGGGAGACCCAAGTTTCGTCCTATTTATGTCTTTATCAGTTGAATGCACTGACATGCATATTATTGCTCTTAGTACAACGTTACACGAGTATCAGTCACTTCATAGACCAGAGTGTTATCCACTGAGCAAACATATACACGTTCATGCAACTGGTAATGCTGAATATGTATGGTGTCACCAGGAATGATGCTGCTTATTCATAGAAATAGAAAGGAAATAGTAAATGTTATGCTCATCTGTTTGGACATAGTATTGCTTACTCAGACCCCGTTGCTGCGGTTATTCTGTAGTAATTCAGATTTTCATTCGGTATCAATCGTCATCATGTATCTCAACTCGGATACAGAAAGCCTGTCATCTGTAGCGCCGGCGACAGATCCCACTATCAAAGGATTCATCTACACCTGTGAGACATAGCCACTGAAAATAGAAGACAGGAAGCGACTACTCTGTTTTGACCACATATGTCTTTGTAGCATTGATGGCGTTTGGTGGAATCACTATGTGAGGACTGTTGGGGTCAGGCGTATGGTACTAAGCAAGAAAGCCAAGTTGATTGGTGAATTTTTGGATCGTCATATGCTGAAGTTGCTTGGAAATGTACAACATATGCCGAGCTAATTCCTACCTCAACTTGCCATGCTAGGGGAAGCTGGTTTAGGTCGGAAGAGGATTTAGGGTGGTCAAACCAAGACGTGACACTAGTCGATGAAGTCTCCATCTGTTGGTCTGGGTCATATGGGTTGAGGTAAACTGTCTGGTTGGAGCCCTCAAGAAGAAATGTGCTAGTGGTTGAGGACATTTGGTGACATGACTGGAAAGTTGTCACAATGGCTCAGATGTATTCACTCGTTGATATCTTTTAAAGCTTAAATATTCACGCTACTTGATCTCCCTTGACATCACTCCTTTTCTGTCCATCTGTTTTATTTGTACTGCTGTGAAGTGTACCAGTTTGAGCCGATGCACCTGTATATGAGGTTCTATGTTGATTTCGTCAGTCAGTCAGACAATCGTCATGAGCTTATGTATCAACCAATGGTATTTCATACAGTCTTACTATTTATAGCAGTTGTTTTTATAGCTAGTTAACTTCATTCATCAACATCTAAGCATAAATTCTTTCTCAAAAAAATTATCTCAGAGATCAATTCGACGTAATCGTCAGTATACGTGTAAAAGTCGTGGTGCAATTGGAACAAAACCTGGTATGGTAATCTGTCGAGTGGATAAATCCCACCGTAATCAGTGCAGAGCATGCCGATTAACTAAATGCCTTGAAGTTGGAATGAATAAAGATGGTAAGTGAAATAAAATTCACTTTTTATTCATTTATTTTTCTGTTTTATATTCGATATTTACACGCATGACCATAGATAATGTGAAGAAGTCACTGATTTTTCTCCCTGGCCATAGTCAATCTGTCCATAAATCAATTTACCCTAAGTGTGGTTTATGTGTTAAATATACTAACACACAAGAAAATAGTAATTTTCTTCAAGAATACTTCATTTTGCTTTATTGGCACTTGTAGCGAACCTATCAGGGTGAAACTAGACACCAAAATCACGATAGCTATTACTCCTGTAATATGTTACTAGTGCTAACTCTTATTAGAATTATTTTCTGTCTAGCTCTGAAATACAGGACAGACTTTTCAGTCATTTTGAATCGAATAATTAGGCTTTCTTAGCTGAATCATCTGAGCTCTGCTCCAAACGAACGAAACGGCCATCCGGTGTTTCAATCACCTTGATTTGGTTGATGTATGTCAATGATTTAGAACTACTGATGCCAGTCAATTGTATATTATGTACAAGTTCAAGCTAACAATCTTGAAATCACTTGTAGCATCAAGTAGATCACACTAGATGATATCAATATTTTGGTTTCTACAGGAAACCATGGTGATATTACTCACCAACGACTGTGTGCTTTTGAGAACATTTCATCTGATTTTTTTATGCTACTTTAATACTTCTCAGTAATACCAGCTCAGTACGTCACTCAATGTACAGCTCAGAACGGTTAGGTCTTATAAAGAACGTGTCTCCATTCTTCAACCAATAGGTTAAAATCCTATGTTCAAAGTTTAAATAAGACGCTCTTTTGCGATTACTGATCAAGATATCAATTAACTAGAGGTAGTTGGTTAGGGAATCTCTTACTTTTCTTGATACCCGTCAACAAGGTATTTATGAAACTAATTAATTCGATTCTCACCAAGATATATTCATTGTAGATAGCTCTCTAATCTGGCCAATAAAGATCTGTTTAGCTTTCACTTCCATTTACCTTTTGTGTTTATTGATAACTGAACCATTGACATGTGAAACGCTTTCTAAAATCACTATTGTTGTCATTATTATTATTATTACTCATCTACTACTACCTTACCAAGAAAGGAGTCAAACAAACAATTCACACAAGAATCAACTTCAGTTGAAGAGAATAAAAAATAGATCTGAATTTCACAATGTTTTCAGTTATTGTTTTTTTGGCTTTTAACAGCATGTAAAGATTGGCGTTTGAGTGTGTGTGTGTGTGTGTGTGTGTATGAATGTGCATGTATGCATGGGTATGTATGGACATTTTGATTTTGGCGGGAGAATAAACAGTCTAATTAAAAAAATTTTCTTGTACATCTATGTACTTCTGTTTGTTTACTTTTGTGTACTATTGTTGATGACATGGCTACATGATGAGTATTTAGTGTCTCATTCAACGAGTTTTCGCATGTGTTCAACTATTTATTATTATTATTAGTAGTAGTATTACTGTGTTACTACTTATAAATACTATTAACATACTACTCATTATGTTGATATTAGTAATGGTGGCTGGAAAAAGAGAGCAAAAGTTAGTTTCTAAAAGAAAACAAATAGCAACAGCAACAAAACAATCATGATGATGACGACGACAATAATAATAATGAGATGTGAAAGACAAGCTTCTTAACGTCTTATAAACCTGTCAAAAATTGTAAAATCAAGAGAAAAGAAAAAGAATTTCTATTAGTTACTATAATATTAACTGACATACATGTGTGTGTGTGTGCATGGTATCTATTTCACGAAGTAAACGTTTGTCCTCATCTACAGGTGTATGTGTGTGTGTATGCGCGTTTGTGTAAGCATGACTATGTTTTCAGTCAGTGTATACACTCATCTTAAGATGGTGAGAAAATCAAGAATTGAAGAAAAAAACCCAGACCTTCTATTAGTAAAGTATACAGTTAATTTCTACTGACATTTATTCTGTGTACTCATTGAGTCAATGGTGGTTTCGATGACATAGCGACGTAGACTGATCACCATCATCAACATCGTTCTGTTAGTAATGGTAGTAGTGTGAGTAGTAGTAGTAGTAGTAGTAGTAGTAGTAGTAGTAGTAGTAGTAGTAGTAGTAGTAGTAGTAGTAGTAGTAGTAGTGTAGGAAACGACAAGATGGAGATGAAGGAAGAAATGTTTATTATTTATATCTTGTACAGCAGTTACCAAATATTGTACACCTTCCAATAAGACAGTCATTTGCCCAATGTTCTTCACTTTCTTTTCTGTTTCTACCTTGATTTGTTCTTGCTATGCCCACATTGTCTCTTGCGTTTCCCTGGGCAGAATCTTTACCCATTGCTGGTAATTGCTTATGATTTCTGCCGCCCTCTCAACATATACTACTTATATCCATTCTGATTAGCAGCGCCCACTACAGTAGTAGTAGTAGTAGTAGTAGTAGTAGTAGTAGTAGTAGTAGTAGTAGTAGTAGTAGTAGTAGTAGTAGTAGTAGTAGTAGTAGTAGTAGTAATGTTGATGAGTTGGTTGTTATTCGCGTAAATGCTACAAATGAATATCTTCTTCCCTTACATCTGTGCAAATATGCGGGTTGGGAATATGTGAAACATAGTAATATACTACCATTAGAACTGGCTTTTATTTTATTCTTTTAGTCAATTAATCTATATGGAAAGGGTTCACATTGAGAACTTTTCTCTCACAGCCTACTCCTTCATTCTTTCTCCGCCGGAAATTGATTAACTTACAGTTTATCTCACCAGGTTATGATGGCCATATTCTGCTGAAAAGCTCATTTAAAGATTACTCAAACTCTATTGCTTTTTCATTTTGTCATCAAACTGTGATAGTAGTGATTTACTGACTCACTTTTTTAAGACTTGCCTATTTAAGATTAATTCAATATCACTTAACAATGTGTTGGGTTCCAGTTCGACATATATACATAAAATGGCCTACAAAACTGACCATGCACTCTTACTGACTGGGAAGGCTCCAAAGTCCAGGATATCTACCCATACCTCCTTAGCTGGGGCAGCATAGAGTGCCTGGCCTGGGTTATCCCACTAAGACCGACCACTCCTTGATGCCCGTCGCCTAATTAATACCGACCTCCCTTTCACCTTGGTTATTAAAGTGGCTCGCAGGTATTTAGTCCTAATTACCTGTGTTCTGTTAGCTGACAACTAGTTAGGTTCAGCGGTCAGTCGGTTACTGCTTCCGAAGACCCATTCCCCAGCCAGGAGGAATGACAAAAACTTCATCGACCAAATCATTGAAAACGATCGCTGGTATATTCACCAGTCGGATGTTGTCATTGACCTCCAACCCATACCAGAGATGTGGGCAAGTAAGCTGACCAACTCTGTTCTACTCAGGGAAGGTAGTAGGCATGCAGCCCTACCGTCATCGTACCTTGCATACTTTTGTACGCATCTGAGAAGCTCACCATTAACCATGTTAAGTGTGCATCTTCACTTCGAAACCTAGTGCTGGATGAAAAGACGGTGAGCCAGTCTGTAAGTGGATAACTGATTATCAGCAGGAACCAGAAGAAGGTCCACCATCCTGCAACTAAGCTAGAAACACTATAACCATCAGAATCACCACCAGAGTCAGCTATGTGACCAAGGCTGACTACATGTATGTCATCGGTTAGGCATTTATGCGCGTCACCAGTTATATGAGATATTAGTAACCCTGAGAAGTCATAGTTGCTTCGCCAGAGATTGTTAATTTATCACCAAACTATGACAGTAGCGATTTGCAACCTATAGTTACTTTCATTTCAACCATTATTGTGCTTAAACGTTGACTTTTGTATCTTAGCTTAAAGGAAATATTGCACAAAGTCTCAAACCATAAGGCAAGCTAATCACCATAACGTTTCAATCTAGAATGAACCAATCAGAGATAAGTGAGGCATCGAGATGATTGGACAAAGAAAACTGAAAGCATAGGTGGCTCAACTCAGTCATTTATTAGTTGACCTCATGAAAGCTCAAATTCTATGATATATCTGTCCGTTACTATATTATTATTTTCCAACTTAAATTGTGTTTCATTTAATTGGTGTTCTCCTCACTGTGAATAGGAGTTAATCAAACCTCTTACACAATAGAAATTATATTTCTTTAGTCTAAAGTGAACGAAAGTTGTTTGTGATTTAAATATCCTTAAGAAGTTAAAAAAAAACGCACCTCTAACACTAATAATATTTTAAGAATAGATGAAAGTTATTAAACGGTTGTGAAAATCGATCTGCCCTATTCAAGTTGATAACTTGTAATCAAGGTCATTGTGAACTAGTCTTGATATCTGAATTTTAAAATTATAAACATCAGTATCCAACCATTAGAAGTTCCTTCTACTTAATTCATTGGACTTTCTGTGAATAATTACTGAAGATAATTGTATATGTTAATATTATCACTATTACTATCCAATCACATGCAGAAGAGGTCCTTTACAATAAGTCCTTCATACGAAAGAAAATGTGTTGTCCTAAAAGAAACCAACCAGTACTTAGCGACTGTTAAGAGAGAGAAGTTTACAACTTTTCAAAAATAAAATTCAAATCTCATCTTGATAATAAGGACAAATGAAAATGGTCAGTTTTTAAAATTAGTATATGGTAAGTTATGTAGTATGTATTCTGAGATAATTGATAGTATACCCAAACACTTGGTGATTCATGTGAAATTGAGACATCATCAGTGGCTAGATTTCATAACTCATTTGACAGAGCATTGGGTTGGAAACTACTGAGTTAAGTCCTGCCTCGATCCAAGCTTTAATTTTGTTCTCAATCTTTACTCCGTATCAGTATATCAAATGTTAATTGATTCTCCGTATTGAAGGTATGGTAAACACATGTACTGGTAGCTATGTTTTTGTCTGTTAATCATCCTTCCTGACTGATATCTGTCTCTACCATCCATTCAAGTTCAAGTTTTAAGTATCTCAGATTGTTAAGAAGTTCATGAACGTTATTATGTAACCACGGCGCCCACCTTCCTCTGAAACAGTAATAAACCTTTGCCACCGTTACCTTTGAATTATAATCAGGACACTTAATACTTCATAGTCAGTCTGTTGAATTTAAAATTATATATTCTAATTCAGATCAGTGATAATCTACAGTTCAATTAACAACATTTTGTTTCCAGATTCGTCAATCTGTCAGCTTTCATTTCAGGTCTACATTCATTTTTAAAACTCTGTCACCTATCGATAAAACGAATGACAAATATCTTTAAAATATGTGATAATTGAAGGTGAAATGAAAGTTTGGACCCTGGTCAGATTTTAGCCACTGGCTACTGCGTTCCCGGTCTAATGCTCTACCAACTGAGCTACAGGGTCCGACTGCTGACCAGGTGCTTATTTTCACTTCAATCATCAAGTGTTTTACCCGACTACCATATGAATTCGTAACGCGTTACTACTGCTTGATCGTATTCACACTGGTTGCCTAGTCAGAACTTCGAATCCCAACCCGAATGTAAGTGAATTAGAGAAGGGGAGCATCATATTGATTATCATTTAGACTATCTGGGTGATGATTGAAGGTGAGAATGAAAACAGTCTCTAATTCACTTACATTTGGGTTGAGATTAGAAGTTCTGACTAGGCAATCAGTGTGAATACAATCAAGAGGTAGTAACGCGTTACGAATTCACATGGTAGTCGGGTAAAACACTTGGTGGTTGAAGTGAAATAAAAATCTGGTCAACAGTTGGACGTCGTCGCTCAGTTGGTAGATCATCAGGCCGGGAAAGCAGTAGCCGCTGGTTAAAATCTGACCAGGATCCAACTTTTCAATTCACCTTCAATCATCGCCCACTATAAATACCAGTCTGCCAAACTACGGCTATCTCATATGGTCAAAATGAAAATATCTCTCAATAACTTGATGAGTAAACTTTAACAATTATCCCGTGGTTAGTGAGAAAGACTCCCAAATCCATTCTGACAACTTCTGAGGTTACTAGTTAGTTTTCGTTATCTTATGCAAAAAAATAGTCCTTCCAGATAAGATGGCAAAACCTGACTGATTATTTCAGCAGTTACTAGGGTGGCTTTCAATGCCATTCTTTATTAGAGTCGAGCTTCCTCACAAACCGCATATTGGGGATGTGGCTGAAGACAGCATTTGTGTATGCGCGTGTGTGATACTAGAGGATACCAGGACAACATATAATGAATCTACGCTACTCATTCCTTTTTAATGTCTTTATTAACTTATATTGGTTTCTAAATAGATATGAGAGAAAAGCTACAAACAAATCTTGTCTCAGTTCATCGATGGTTATCTGTGTTTAGAACCGGGTGGCTTTTCTGAAACACCATTTATTTCATTCAGCTCTCGTATGAAAACAGAATGGCTCTATGAGTCACCGTAACGACGGCTGAGATAACTAATTAGATTCCTCAGTTTCGTTGGAATAATTTTTCATAAAACGAAGACACTCAATTGGTTATTTTATTGCTTGATTGTCCTTTGGAGTTACTCATCAAAATATCACTTGTATCTCATTGGTTAAATTTCATCATCCGTTTAACGTAACGAAGGTCAAGTTAATTTGATTGGCCGTTTGTTTTGATTCTAGAGTGGGCGGGAGTTATTTCAATCAATTGAGCTATTTCTACTGGAAGGTGTTTTACTATTTGCATTCCCTGTAAATAATTTAAGTGAAGAAATTCAATAGACCTGTTTTGACAGGATGCCATTTTTAAGGATGAAATTAAGTGACGCAACTACTTGGAGTCAAATGTAATAAAAATACTAGTAGCAATTACTTTACGACCCATTCTTACTATGCAAAGAGCTAGGTTTAAATTTATCAGTGAATAAATAGTGATACCAGTATGTAAAAGACAAAGCAGTGAGCAAGTGATGGTGTATGCAGGTCAGCATTAGAGTTATAGCAAAGTACAATTGTCGCCGACCGCTATCGACGTTCATCTCTGACCACTTGTGATCTGCGTACCTCCGTAGCTAGTAGTGCGTTGTCACTTAAGTCCTGAGATGATTTTTCATCCTGAAATGGTCGACAGTGCACACTGCATGTATGTAGGTAGTGGATGTTATGCTTTGATCTCAGTAAACGTATAATGTAGACAGAGGTTGACCATAACTTCTTTTTGAACACATAAATCAGGTTTGAGGCGTTTAATGGCTATGGCTTCAGAAAACATCAAGAAAATTGAGCTGGCTTGTTTGTTTATAATCCTGAAGGAATTGAAGACATATGCATGATGCCCAGTGTTAATCAGATCCAGAGTGAAATAAACTTTTGAATAGTGAAACCGGTTGGCATTCGATTGACACTGGACATCATGCAAATGTCTTCAGTTCCTTTAGGATAATAAACAGACAAACGAGCTGAGCTATCCTGAAGTTTGCTGAAGCTATAGCGATTAAACGCCTCAAACCTGATTTATTTGTTCTAAAAGTATGATGTATCTGTCAACTTTATCTACTGGACCATGATATCCAATGGTCTATTACTGGCTGAGTATATTGCGCCACAGTTCTCTCTATTCTGCTATATGGTTGTTAAATATAACCAATAAAAGTAAGGACACGTAGAGGCTTCAATTTACCGACCACCGTTGCCTACGCAGCATAAGCCATGTATCCTAACATCACCATGTTAATAACGTCGAAGGCGTAGAGTTTTAAGAACAAGAGGAAAGTCAGTTGATGAGGTTGTGAACCTTCATCGATTAAGATGACTGTGACATGTGTTACACAAGCCTGGTCACCAGATGACTGGTCACACAATGCAGGCTGAAGTAGATTTAAGCTGGGAAAAGGTAAGGGGTGGCCAGATTTAAAACACGGCAATATTCTATGAAGTCTTTAACGGTTGGTTTAAGCCGTGTAAGAAAATATAGACTTCTGCGTTGGGATTCTCACGACAACAGAGGTCAGTGGTTGGAGATTCTAGGTGAATAGGTTTAGAAACTATCTTAGTGGAGTAAATAGTATCGACACATTATCTTAGCCTTAATCGTACTACTGAAGAATTTCAGTATTATGTCTTTTTCTCTTTCCACTGGATTCTTTTTGATTTTCTACCTTTCATTATGGTATGTTCTTGCTTGATGTACTGATTTGAGGTGCAGAAACTATGGCTGTTACGTAGTTGATACTGACTGACTGATGGCGTCACTTTGATACTCCTGCAGTTGAAAATGCGGAATTTACAGTTTAGCTGCTGAAATAAAATTCAGCAGTTTCACGATACCTGGAAAGTCAGTTGATTTTCTTTTGAAACCGTACTCAATTATTTGAACACGAATGCTCACTATAGCCTAGAGAAATCTCATCGAAAATACAACAGCAATATAATAAATGAATTCAAAAAAAAATTGGAACTGAAGTTTTTCAGTTATTGTAATTATGATTATTTGTTATATAACAATAGTAGTAATAGTAATAGAAGCCAGAACACGTGTAAATTATATACGCGAGATACATTTATTTCATTTAAGGCGCCACTCTGAAATAAACTGCTGAACATTGAACAGAATAGCACAGTCAAACACTCAAATATACACCTGTATGCACTTTTATATTTTGCTTAAGTACAAGCATATTTCTTGTTTACGTAATCAATTCTCTCTCACCCCAGATTAGTTAGTAAAGTTAATCACACAGTGACTAGATGCTGCATGTTTTTTTCCTGATTTCATCTACGATGTAACCTCAGTATTCAATGTTTCAATGGAAGATAAAATATGCAACATTGCATGTGTGTGTGGTTTGATCAAGTTCAGTTATTACTTCTCTTAAAAACGTGATTTTTACTGTGGACACCAAGTGGTTGTAAAGATAAAATTATGTATTCTACCACCCACCAAAATGAAACTGTTTCAACTAAAAATAATATTTCACACACTGCAGATGGTGTGTTTAAGTCACTAAACTCAAAAGAATTTTAAAAAATACACAAAACAAACGCTTTATTTTCGATTTGTTTTTACCAGCCTTTTTTTGTCGGAGTCATTATAACATTAAAAAATGCATTTGAAAAAAAGTAAACAGATAATTTAAACTGTGCTTTATGACCTACAACAACAACAAATCTAGTTCAGTGTTTCAATGGTGTGTTTAAATGAAACACGTTGGTTGACGGAATCTTTTGCCAGTAAAAAGGTGTTAGTTGACCACATTTTTTAAATTTTTGATGTGTATACATTTGAATTATCACCTACGTTTTTTTGTCAAAATATGATATCGATCTAATGGATAGTGAAAATCAATGAGTATTGTTCACATGTTTATCTTGTTATAGGTACTTGTGAGCAAATTGTTGTATTTTTGGTATTATTGACGAATAGTGGCTAGGAGTGGAGTCCAGTACGCTCGTTTCACCTTACTTGTGACTCGTCAGCTGAATGTACCTGTCTTCCAGAGGGTGATATTGAGAGACAGACCCGGACCAATGGCTTCAAACGTCACAGCGCTATACACTAGGTCACTGAGTAACGATAACCACTCATTGTACTACTTATATACTACTGTTGTCGTTCTGAATAACTTGAAGATGACATTCTTCGTGTATGTCTGTCTGTGTATGTGTGTGTGTGTGTGTGGGGGGGGTTAATACGTAATCTATTGGC